TGCTTTACATATTCATATGATCTCTAACCGAAAGTCGGGGAGTGGAAAGCGGGGGCCGGTGCCGCCGCCGCAACGACTGACCGGGAGTGGGGGGGGGCGGACGGTGGCGGAGAGAGGGGCGGAAGGAAGGGCCCTCGTCACCCTTCCTCGCCCCAATATTCGCCTCGGGCCCCCGAGTGGAGCCGCACCCCCGCCCGCTCTGGTGTCGCATTGGATCAGTGGAGGGTCGGCCCCAAGAAGAGGCGGGGGGGGGAGAAGTGCCTTTTTAGGGTCCCCGTAACCGCCCTGTAGCAGCCCCCCCTCGCCTCCCCAAAGTATTTCCCCAGAGGCTGAGGCCTGGGTCCTGAGAAGGGGTGTGCGGGGTTCCTCACAGGGTGGGGATGTCTGGCCTAAGGGGAGAGAGAAGGGGGTGCAGGTTGCTCTGAAGAGATTTGCTCTCACAAGGGGTGTGGATGTGGTTAAGGCGGCGGGGGGGGGCGAGAGAAAACTCTCTCGGGAATTGGACGGGGCGGACGGGGATCTCCCCCTTCCCGAGGGGTTGGATCCGGGGCTGTCCTGCCAAATCCTCCCCTTTCCCTCTGTGAGATGGAGGGGAGACCTTCAAGGTTGCTTGCCAGGGTTTGCGCCGGGTAATAGTCCCGGAGGAGGAGGGGGGGCCTCCGCGGTGGAGGATGGCGAGGACGCTTAACAATGCCTTGCCCCCCCCCTTCCCCACAGCTGGGGCGGCAGGGTCGGGGTTCCGGGGTGACAGGCTGGGCGCCAGCGGAGAGCGGCTGTTTTCTAATTCTCTTCTCTTCACTCCCCCTCTCTCTTTCTCTCATTTGAATAATGTCTAATTCGGGGAGGTTTATATTATTGAAATGGCCGCCTGGCTTTCCCCGCCTCTCATGTTTAGTAATTCAGGCCTTTAATAACAGCCACTCAGAGCCCAATGCCGTGTTTATATTTTACATTCGCCCCATGTGCTTTTGTGGTTCAATATGATTCTTCTTTCTTGCTCTCTTGCCTTTTTACATTTTCTTGGCAAGGAACAGGGCCCTGAGATCAAACCCAGGCTGTATAGTGGGAAGGGAGGAAAGCTAGGCCTGGGCTCCTTTGGCAGGCGCTTAGGCCTCACTCTCTGTTGCTTGATTTATTTACTAATAACGAAAATACCCCCCTCCCAGCCTCCACAGCAAAAACAAAACCCTCCTGGGGCATGAGCAGCATCAGATCTGCTTCTCTGCTTCTCTCGCCTATGCCTCAAATAAGGGGCTTATTTTTAATTTATAGGCAACAACAGGACTTTCTAAGGCACTCTTTCCAGATCACTGTGTGTGGGGCCCTTCTTCTCCCTTTGTCTTTATTGACTTCTTCATTTGATGGAGAAAAGCACAGTTTCTCTCAGTTTTTGAAGCTTTGAAATCTGTAGTACATTCAAAATAACATTCCGGTGTAAAATACAGAACATACACAATTGGTGACAGTTTTAAATCGCACTACAAATTCTTTGCAGTAACCAGACATAATACCAAAAAGAGCTTTCATCTTGCTATTTAGAGCCAGAATTATATGGGCAGTGTTGTTTTATGTTTAATTGTTGATGCTAAAATGATTAGAAGTACTGAAAAATCCAGTGAATAAGAGAAAGAGAAATTTTAAGTTTGTTATAAATGATGGAATTAGAAATACAGTATTTTTCAACACATAAAGTGTCTTAGACAAAAAATGTTTAATAAACCAAAGTTCTCTCTTTTGAAATTATTTTATACTTGTATGTTTTTAATCAAGTGTTAGGACACTTGACAGATTTGTATAGTTATTAGTGTTCATTCCCTTCAGTCTATGCAGAAAAATTTTCTGACAGCAGTATATTTTAGAGTATCTGTATTTAGTAATAAACAATGCTGGAAATATATGACCATGAATTGCATGTGTAGGAACAGTAATTTTTTTGGGGTAACTTCCGTCAAAATATTTTATTTTATAATATTTTATAATAATTTTCCATATGCTCACTTCTGGCCTCAGAAATTAAAGTCAGGGTTTGTAGGGAAAAAATCCCATTCCTAGAAGTTGACTGGACACACATTTAATATGATTTTGTGTCTTAAAAGCATATTTCCTATGCCCTTTTAAAAAGATGTGGTTAAACCAATGATGTCATTGGCCAGAGGACAAGATACAGTTCATTTGATTTAATGAGTTAGAATTGAATGTAGTGTTGAATCTCATGAGGAAGCCATTTATCTGAGAATAGTTTCCTTTGTAGGTGAAATTTAAATACTGTTGAGACTATAATATATGCATATCACTTCTTGCAGAAAAAAAGTGTCATTGTAACTGTTCTAGTAATAATTTTTAAAGGATGGAATGCTAGATGGAAATTTGGCTCTGTTAGGGAACTTTATGAACTCAGCAGTTGTAACTTTTCCATTTTCAAATCAAATTTGATAATTCTGGGATCTTATGGTTTTGCTTATTCTCATCATTAATGTTTAGAACATGGGATTTATTACAATAACTTATCTGTAATTAATCGTAGATTGATTTTGTCATTTTTTTCAGATGTTTCTCCAGGCAAGGAAGTTTTTATTTTTCATCCACCATTGATTCTGATATCTGGCTAAACTGAAATTCCTTTAGATTACTTGTATGTACCTTTGTGGGAGGAACAGGAACACTTGGTCTTTGCTGCAATCCATAGTGATACATTTTATTATTCTGTTCTGTCTCCTGGCCTCTGGGCTACATGAAATAAACTTTATGAGTATTTTCGTTATTGCAGTTTCCACTAGTCTTTAACTCAAAATGTATCAGAAGTTTCGCTGGTTCGCCTTGCTGCTGCCTAGCAACAATGCCTCTGATACAGGCAGGGCTCTTGACAGAGTTTGTGTTCTTACTATGCTATATTAGTCTGAGACATACTTCCTGTATAGTCTATGGTTGGAATCCTGCTTTTTAAAGACTTTGTATGTCTTTGTTGCTGTGACTGGTATTTTGGACAAAAAGCATGTGTGTGGGACAACATTCTCATAGCCTTTTGGCACTTTCAAATGTTATTGTAAAAAGCAAAAGCAAATCATGCTGCTTATATATCACTGTATAGCACTTAAAGCACTCTATGGGTGGTTTACAAGTTAATTATGCAGGCTACACATTCCCCCCCCCCAGCGAGCTGGGTACTCATTTTACCAACCTTGGAAGGATAAAAGGCTGAGTCAACCTTGAGCCGGCTACCTGGGATTGAACCCCAGATTGTGAGCATAGTTTTGGCTTTAGTGCAGCAGTTTAACCACTGCACCACAAAGCTCCTTTTATCATTAAAAATGATAAAAACATTATCATTTTTTTAAAAAATCAAGACTTTAGTAGCTTTAAGTTTGCACATTGAATTGTATACTGTAATATGTTTGGATAGCAAACTTTTTCTGTGATTTCTGCATTGTGGGAAAGTGTCTCCTTTCCCTGAGTCTCCTCTAAGCCACCTCCTCTGTTGTACAGAGTTGGAGAACCATCTAAAGCAAATACTAGTATATGTGTGGTATGTTTAGGGAGGGGGAAGGGAAGTTTTACAACACAAGTGGAGGCCACTCACATCATGTGATGTTGGATGTAGCCTGTCATGTGTGAGAGAACAGGATAGCCCAGTTTCATGCTGATTTTTTTTAAAAAATCTATGTACATTGCCATGTATAGCTTTACCTAAATCACTGTAGACACTTTCTGCGATAATATAAAATTCACCAGAGAGTATTCTAATGTGTGTAATTGAGCATGAAGTTACAGTAATTTGCAACAGTGAAACTCATGAGGAGTAAGAGGATGGCTGTGTCTGATCTACCTTTAGCTTCCATTATTTCCTATTTACTGATGAAATAGTGCTTCTTTTTGTAGAATGAGGGGATTTTTGCCTGCTTCTGTCACTTCCATGACAGGAAATATGCGAGAAATGATGGAGCAGCATCAGGCTCGCAAATTTCCAGCAATTAGGGCAGGTTGTAGATTTTTTAATGTCAGATGCATATAGTTCAATATTCCTACATTCCAAGTTCAGTTCTGTAGTAACAATACGGCATATGAATAACAGAATTTGACATTGTTGAGCTATATGCACTGATAGGATGGGGTTCAGGAAAGTCTTCACTGTATCATGAATGGATAGACTTATGCTTGTGTATCTTTAAACTCTTTAATACCACTCATCTTTTTGCTTTGAATTAATTTTGACATAATTACTGTTTCTTTTAAAAAACTGGTTTTTAATTGCTGACAAGTGAGAGTTGTGAGCTTGTCTGGTATTGAAGCCTTTGATGCAAAGTTCTAAGGATTGTTGTTGTGACAGAAATATTATACAGTAAACTGACATATAAATATAATGTTGCTGCTTTGTTTATTTTATTTCTTGTTCCTGGATGTCAGTTCGGTGATAAATTAAATAAGGTGTGGCCAAAGAAACTGTATGATAAGAGCAAAGTGGCAGCAAATTTGTGCTTTTATTGTGTAGCAAAATCAAGTTAATAATTGGTCTTTCAACTTTTCTCCATGTTTTACTACATATTGTAGCTATTGCTTTATCTGTTAAAAATATCAAAGGCCCAAGACCTTTTATGTTTCTATCTAAATAGTGTAACATTTGGAGACAAATATCCCCAGGTAAGTTTTCCCTCCCAAGCTTTAGTTAAGAAACACTTTCCCAAACTTGGTTAATAGCCACTATCAGTTGCACCCTGAGTCATACAATTCATTATGCAACTGATAATGTCAATGGTGATTTCTTGTCTTGGGGCAGTTTACCTCCAGAAATTACACAGCTAGTA